AGATATGATATCTACTGCATCCCTAGTTATTTGTTATGTTTCTTTGTCTTGAAATGCCGAACGACTTTACTTGTTAAGGGGAGAGTGTTGGTATGACTGTACAGTATATTCGTATTCAACATACTTATTTAATATATGCACCATTTGTACCCTTTTATAGTTAACCCTCAGATGTATAATGGCTTCCCTTACACATGCCCTGGGAGACCGACAGACCTACCAAAACAAGACAGGCAAGCAAGGAGACCGGCAGACCCACCAAAACAAGACAGGCAAGCATGTAAGTTTACTGATATTTTTCTTTGTGATATAAGTTAACACATTGCGCCCTGATGCGCCCTGCTTTATTATTTTACTCTGTCTAACGCCAGATGATTTACTCATCAAGGGGAGAGCTCTGGTGCTTAATGGATTAACTGGCCTATCTGCCCATGTGTCTAGTCTAGTTAATCCATTGAGTTGCATTGCACCGATGTGCCCTGCTTTATTATTTTACTCTGTCTACTGCCAGACAATTTACTTGTCAAGGGGAGAGCTCTGGCATTTAATAGGTACAGTAACTTAACTGGCCTATCTGGCCATATGTCTAATAATCTAGTTAATCCATTCAGTTGCATTGTGCCAATGCGCCCAGTGACTGACTGAAAGTCTGAAACAGTACAGGCTTGACTGCAGTCACTGACAAGAAGAAAATTCAAATCTCACAATGTATATTAATTTTACTGTATAAACCATATAATGTCTAAACCATTTATATATTTCATTTATATATTTTTAAACCATATATATATTTCTAAACCATTTATAAACCATATAATTTCTTTTATTAGTCCATGCTGACAGCAAATGCCTTAACTGAGGTGGATAGGCCCAAGAATTTTTCGAAATTAACTAAGAATGCAAGAAAAAGATTCAATGTGAACTGGAGAAGCAGGAGAACTGTTAAGAGAACACAAACATACAGTATTTGTTTTTAATATTTTAGTAATGATATTATATGCATTTCTTAATTTTAATCTTTGGTCTTGTCCCTACATGGTGTTACTGGTAACCCACCCCTGATATTTTATTTCTGCATGCTTTTAGTTGAGTAATGCATATACAGGATGTATCAAAAAATATCCCAAATGGATAATTTCCTCGAAATCACACAAAATTTGGGATATTTTTTGTAACCGAGAGTAAATATATGTAAATTCTAATTAAGTTTTTATTATTTTGTAATTTGTATATTTCGAATAAACTAGTGTCTGATGTGGTACATCAAACCTGCATAGCACGTAACTTTCTTATTTACATGTAGGTAGATTTTTCTGAGGGGCAGTTCATATGATCCCGCTTACACAAGATTAAACGAAGCGTGCAATGATTTTGAGATATTGAAATAAGTGATTTGTTAATGATAAGGAAAAATAACATGATCCAGGTGGCTTTGGATTTTGTTCTGTAGAAAAATCAAATGGGCAAAATGTAATTGTTGGGCACTAATTCTTGCGAATATATTTTTTGCATTGATTTATATTTAGTCTGTTGTTAGCATGTGCTTGTCTGGTTTCATAAGGACTTATTTCAATACCTCAAAGCCATTGCTCGCTTTGTTTAATCTCGGGTGGGATCACATAAACTTCCCCTGACTCGCTTAATTTCAATGCATAAAACTTAATATTTGAACATTTGAAACATGTGAGAATTTCATACATGAAATCTTAATGTGGAATTTCATATATGAAATATTTGATATATGAAATTTTTTTGTATAATTGAAACAATTTCATATATGAAAATTTCATATGTGAAATATTTCATATATGAAATCTTTATATGTGGAATTGAAACAATTTCATATATGAAAATTTCGTATATGAAATATTTGATGTATGAAATCTTTATGTGGAATTGAAACAATTTCATATATGAAAATTTCATATATGAAATATTTCATATATGAAATCTTTATGTGGAATTGAAACAATTTCATATATGAAAATTTCATATATGAAATATTTCATATATGAAATCTTTATATGGAATTGAAACAATTTCATATATGAAAATTTCATATATGAAATATTTCATATATGAAATCTTTATATGGAATTGAAACAATTTCATATATGAAAATGTCATATATGAAATATTTCATATATGAAATATTTCATATATGAAATTTGTTTCAATTCCATATAACGATTTCATATATGAAATTTTCATATATGAAATGTTATGTGAAATTTTTGTAAGGGGTGACGTGGTAGACCTTTCTATGAGAAACCCAAAATGAAGGTTATGCAGCTGATTTGACACATGGTTGATAATTTGATCATAGATGCAACGTACGTTTTAGCACTTTTGAAACTATTGTTATTGTTATTGATTGTTATTGACTTTGTTGACACTCCCCTAAAAGGGCTTTTCAGTGACAAAAATATATATACATATCAATTAATTACTATAATTATACATCAAATCATAAATTCATATAATAAGATCACGCAATTACTTTATACTGTAGACAAACACAACATCAAATTCTTGACAACAAGATTAACAACAGCAGCATACAACGTACATCAACATCATCAACAACGACAGCAAAAACAACAACAACAACAACAACAACAACAACAACAACAACATCAACATCAACGACAATAACAACGACAACGACAACAGAAAAACATGCCCTTAGGCTAACTATCTAGAAATTGCTGAAGCAGTTCCCGTTTCAGTTTAACTTTAAAGAACAGATTTGCAAAGTTTTAAGTCAGGGTTAATGTTGTTCCAGAGAGTGACAGTTCTGTAATGGAATGTTCTTTGTCTTGCAGTTGATCTGTATAACATAACGACCAGCTGTTTAGTATTTCTAGTATGGCGACCACTCACTTCACCTCTCGTTTTGAACTGAGACGATAAGAAGGCAGGTGCGCAATCATTCATGCATTTGAAAGCTAATAAAGCATCGCGACTGTACAGATGTGACTTCACGGTGTTCCTTAAGTATCGGGGTGATGTGGTCAAATTTCCTTCTGTTGCTCACTACTCGTGCTGCGAAGTTCTGGACTCCTTGAAGTCGGGATAGGTTGCTGCAGGAAGTATTTGACCAAAGAGAGGAACAATAGTAGAGTTTGCTAAATACTAAGGCGTTGATGACAGTTATTAAAAGGTTTTTAGGGAAGACATGCTTAGCGCGATTTATCTGGCAGAGACTTGACTTGCAGGATGAAACAGTAGAAAGGATATGATTGTCGAAGGAGAGGATTGGATCAAACTTAACTCCAAGATCTTTCACTGATGAAGCAGGTGTTAGTTGCTTACCAAGTAGCGAGAGTATAAAATCAGGTAACTTCGCGAGCATTTGGCGGCTTCCGTAGACCATCAATTTAGTTTTGTCTGGATTCAGCAAGAGCAGGTTATCAAAACACTAGTTTCGCATTCTAATCAAATCCTCGTTTAGATTACCCTGGTTGCCAGAGGTTCTGTATCTTTCGCCTTATTCTCGCTCGTATTTATTTTACGCGAGGCGAAGAGAACCTCTGGTAGCCTGCGAACAGGCTCTCAAGCTGAATTGAGAGCCTGCATCGATGACTAATGAATTTGAATATCTGCGTCTCAAATCGTGACGCGAAATTCTCATTGGTCAGATGCTATAATTTATATTTTTCCGCTGAGCTCTATATATGTCAACTGCTTAAGCACTATGCATAAAAACACATTAATTGATCAAATTGGTCTTGGCTATCTTATCTCAAAGCACGAAATGTTCTGTTTTGAGAAAACAGTATTTAAAACATTTAAACTTTTGCTTGAATATCTTATATTTCGAAAAACAGTATAAACTGTACGGTCTAAATTTAGTTTGCACGGTCTAAATTTAGTTTGCACGAAAGTTGTAAACAACACCAAATAAGGATAGACATTCCATATTTGGAAAAACGAACGTTACGGGGCAGATATTCAAATGCATTAGTCATCGATGCAGGCTCTCAATTCAGCTTGAGAGCCTGTTCGCAGGCTAAACCTCTGGTGGCACGCGATACAAATCTCTCTTCCACGCTGACGTTGCCGTTTGAGAACTTGCAAAACCGGTTTTATATTTTGTGACATTTTTAAACTTCCGGGTTTGTCATACTACCAAAATAGCTCTCTTCAGACTGTTTGGCAGCCTTGTGTAAAATATTAAAAATAAGCAGCCCAAACATGTAGATTATTCGTTAGAAACATGCAGTCGTAGACTATTCTCGCAACGCTCAAAGCAAAAAGCAACCTTGCTGACTGTTAAATTTGTGGAATGCCGTTTGTATTAGCGAACGTATAAAGTCAAAAGAGAAAGAATATAAATATATAAATATTTATATATGTGTGTGCAACGGAGCCAGTATGTACGTTTTCTTAACAGACAACGGGAAAATATTGGCAAAATAAATCATATTAATAACTATTAAAGTCAAAGAATTACCAAAATTTAAAGCCTTGAACGATATAAAGCAAGTGACCAACACTTTATATTTTACAAATATTCAGTAATACTGTAATAGAGTGAACATGTCATGCCGTCAACTCATGCCGCGTCAACTCACACCGTCAAGTCATGCCGCGATGGCAGCTCTTCTCCAGCGCAGAAAATCTTTTTATAGCGGAACAAACTAAGTTAATCTCAAATAACCCACACCAAGCAAAGCATTTTAATACGTTCGTATTATTTCTGTATTTTGTTTACATTATGTTCTCTGAGATTTATAAACAGGTTTTTTTGTCTAGCCAATCACATCACTTCATGTGACTGCTAATTATAGCTAACCAATAGACACTTCCCGAATTTGCTTGAGTGCACACGAAACAATAGCTTGGAATCGAGGCGGACAATGTAATCCATTGGAAAACTATACTTATTTCCAATGGATTACATTGTCCGCCTCGATTCCAAGCTATTGTTTCGTGTGCACTCAAGCAAATTCGGGAAGTGTCTATTATGTGCTTGGTACAAATTTTGTACCAAAGGAAGAGAGATTTGTATCGCGTGCCACCAGAGGTTCTCTTCGCCTCGCGTAAAATAAATACGAGCGGGAATAAGGCGGAAGATACAAAACTTCTGGCAACCAGAGTACGTTTAGATCAGTCAGCGCAATGTTCGAGTCATTGATTCGGAAGGACAGAAGGAGTTTGGTGTCATCAACATACGATTCTGATGAACAATTTTTGGCGACTGACGGCAAATCATTCACATAAATACTGAAAAGTAACGGGCCCAGAATACTTCCCTGTGGGACACCACTAACCACTGGCAATAGCCTGCGTAGCGGCTGTCAGAGAAGGGACAGCCTGCACGAAACCCCATGCTAAACCGTATTTACTCGTTCTCTCAGAGGACGAGAAATCTGATTGGTTCAAAATGAAAAAATATGCTAATTTATGCTAAAATTGATACAGACACGGCGGATGTATTATTATTGAGAGGCGTTTCTTTGAGTTTTGCATTCAAAAGAGCTTAAAGGCTACAATTTACGGTTGAACAATAAAGGTATTTACGAACTTGGTTCACGAAGCTCTAGAGATATTGACTGTGGTGTCTTCATTGGATTGATGTCTGTTAGCAGCGCCTCTTTCACAAGCGTGTTCGTTTTAATCAATTCATCGACGACAAATAGATTTTTTCTTCATGATTTTGTAGCTAATAATTTTGTGCCAGGAGAGAATTGCTGTAAATGCTTATGTCTTATGAACAGGACTTGCTCTCTCTGAAGTGATGGCTTTAGACACCTTTAATATTCTCTTCTCTGCATCGCCCGAAACTTTAACATTTAATACATCACGGTTGACCGTTGTCGAAACTATAAATTATATTTGTACGTGTGCGAGAAAGCTACGAAATATCGTAGATACGGACTGCAAACTACTTGTGACAACGATGGAGATTGCCCTAGGCCTAGCGCTATATATTCCCACAGACTTCAATTTTCTTTAGCCGCCATCCGTATATTACAGTATTTCGTTTTGAAATTTGCGAACATACAGCAATCTATATTTATATTTCATTTTGACAAGTAAATTTGCAAACGTAAACAATCTGTGTGATTGGCCAATTTTGACATCTGTTTAAAGTGGGCGTAGC